CCATACATCCGTGCCCCCAACCCTGTCACAGTCCTGCACCCCGGCATGCCCCAGGGCCAGTAGAGAGTCCTTCATGTCGCAAAGAAACCAACCAACAGCCATGGACAGTAGGATTTGGAATCAGAACTTTTGTTGGAGCAATTCCTTTTGGAGCTACAGGAACACAAATGCACACCTCAGATCCAGTCATCACCTGAAGCCACCAGCCGAGCTGCTGTGGGACCGATCTGGCAGTAGAAAGACCAGGAGGAATCTGACTGGGTTCTCTTGGGCACCGCCGATTGCCTGGGAGAGTACCTAAGGGTGAGCCCTCTGGTGAGAATTTGGCTGAGCTCTCTTGGGCCATAATGACTGCTCAGGAACAAGCCAGCCAGTCGCAATCTGTCTGAACTTTTGTGGCCAATGCAGACCAGCCAGAGGTGAGTGGGTCGGTGGGAATTTGACTTTGACTTCTTGGGTCCCGTTGGACCCAGGACCCTCCCTGCTTGGGCAGGGACCCTGAGTGAAAACCACTGGGTGGGAGATGGACAGCTGGAATTTGAATAGGGCCCTAATGATGAACACACCCAGAGAGCTTAAATCTGAGTGAGGTCCCCCAAGTGGTTGACCTGCCCTTGCAACTGACCCACCCCTGTGCCTGCCCAGCCCCATTTGGCTCCACACCTGTGTGTATCAGTCTGGTCAATCAACTTGCCATTAATCCGAAGCACTTTAACCTGTTTTACCTACAAGAGGCTGCTCTCACAGGCTCTGAACTGACATTACCCTGGAGTCAGAAGTTCAGAGAAAAACCACAAGGGGTGTAGCTGCCCAACTGATCTCTAGAGCATTGTCTTAAGATCAAGAACATATCAATGTCTCAAAGAAAGCAAGCTATCCAACACACTACACAAGTGCAAAGCAAGATGTCACCTCCAAAGATTGACACAGTATCAATGGACTTCCTGAAGCCAGAAAGTCTTATGGAACCTTCTGACACAGAATTTAAAAGAACAATGATTGAATATTTTCAATGGATGAAAGATAGGATACTACAAGCAAAAACCAGAAGGAACTAAAAAAAATCCAGAACACTGTAGAGAAAACAAATGAGGCATCAGTGGCACAAGAAACCACTCTCCAAAATATAAGGTCCAATATTTCAGATGCTGTCAACATAATGGAGAACACACGAGCAGAGTTAAAGAGATGGAACACAGAACCAGTGAAACTGAAGACAGAATTGTCACCACTGATCTGCTAAAAGCAGACTCAAAAAACAACAACAACAAAAACACCAGAAAAGAAGAAAACCTAAGAATAATGTGGGACACCATCAAGAGAAATAACATGAACACCATTGGAATCCCAGAACAGGAAGAAGCAAATCAAGGCACTGAAAAAGTTGTGGAAGAAATGAAGAGTGAGAGAATATATATTCAAGAAGCTCAGCCAACACTTTATAGACTAGACCCCAAAAGAAAAACACTAAGGCATATCATAGTTAAATCTGTCAGAACCAAAGATAAGGAGAGAGCCCTGAAAGCAGCAAGGGAGAAACAAAGTAACCTATAAGGGAGAGCAGATAAGATTAAATGCCAATTTCTCTGCAGAAACCATGTAAACAAGAAGAGAGTGGAAGGACATATATCAAACATTCAAAGAACACAACTGTCAACCAAAACTACTGTTTTGTTGTTCTTGTTATGTGCCAGCAAGGCACAACCTACCTAAACTGACACAAACCGAAACTGAACATCTGAACAGACCCATTACAGAAGAAGAAATTGAAAAGGTAATACAACAACTTCCAGCCAAAAAAAGCTCTGGATCAGATGGTTTTACAAGTGAATTTTATCAAACATTCAGAGAAGAACTGTTACCAATTCTACATAAACTATTTCAGAAA